TCTGCTGTTCGGTCTCTAGTGTATTATCCCCAGCTTTCCTGCTACAAGAGAATTTCATGGTCTTCCAACACATGCCTAATAATGAGATTTACAGAGGTCTAGATGGTACAGTTTCCATTTTAAAACCATCACCTGAATTTAAATAAACACCAATTAGTGGTTTAGAGTATATTGCACTGTAGAAAATACGAGTGCCTGCCTTCAGAAGTTCTCAAACTACCTTCTAAATGAGCCTCACTATCCCCAACACAGTGATCCAGGGAAGACTAGCTGTGGATTACCACCATAATTTTAAATTCACTGACTCCAAAATAATGGCTCTAATCCTCATTTTAACCGTGAATGAAACTATCTAGGGTTTTATATTGTTAGTGTGCGCACAACTATCAAATGAATGTAGGGACTGGGAAACGTTTGGAATGTATTCTGAGTTTGCTTTTTGGTTTTTTTCTTAAGGTGTTTTTTTTTAATCTATCTGGAAAATCTAGAATTCGTGGATGCATCTGTAACATTTTTAAAAATAAAATTACAGATTATGTTCAAACATGCTGGGAAGAGATTCTAAATATTTGTCCTTATACCTACACACACTGTACACTCCTCACTCCTCATCACAGAAACTTCTCTTTGCAACAGACAGAGACCATCAAAGTAAACCACAACCTGTTAAAATACAGGAGTGTGAGCCCAGTTGTACCTGATGCATCAACAACACAACTCCCACATCTAAGACTCGGGGGTCATAGAAGAAGGAACAGAAAGATTGAAAGCCAGAGGAACACGAAGTTTGCTATGAGATTGTGTCTCCTATGAATGTCAGAAACTGTACCCATGAAATCTCATCAACATGGTCACCTAAACAAGGATGACACCAGCAGACATGCTAACACAGAGGGGGAAAGCTCAGGCAGCCTCAGCCTCGGACAATGAACTCAAGAAACTTGACAACAAAAGAACAAATAACCTAAGAAAAATGGGGTACAGACCTAAAAAGAGAACTCTCAACAGAAGAACCTAAAATGGCTGAACGTCACTTAAGGAAATGTTCAACATCCTTAGCCATCAGAGAAATGCAAATCAAAACAACTCTGAGATTCCATCTTATACCTGTAAGAATGGCCAAGATAAAAAACACTGATGACAACTTATGCTGGAGAGGTTGTGGGGTAAAGGGAACACTCCCCCATTGCTGGTGGGAGTGCAAACTAGTACAGCCCCTTTGGAGATCAGTATGGTGATTTCTCAGAATATTAGAAAACAGTCTACCTCAAGACCCAACAATACCACTTTGGGGTATATACCCAAAGGATGCTCAAGGACATTTGCTCAACTATGTTCATAGTAGCATTATTTGTAACAGCAAAAACCTGGAAACAACCTAGATGCCACTCAACTGAAAAAAATGGATAAAGAAAATGTGTTACATTTACACAATAGAGTACTACACAGCGGTAAAATAAAATAATGACATCTTGAAATTTGCAGACAAATGGATGGATCTAGAAAAAAAAAACCATATTGAGTGAGGTAACCCAGACCCAAAAAGACAAATATCATATTACTCACTCAGAAGTGGCTTTTAGACATAAAGCAAAGAAAAACCAGCCTACAATTCACAACCCCAGACAACTTAAGACAATAAAGAGGACCTTAAGAGAGGCATACATGGATCTACATAGGAAGGAGAAAAAGACAAAATCTCCTGCATAAATTGGGAGCATGGGGTTCATGGGAGAGAGTAGAAGGGGAGAGGGAGGAAGGGAGGGGAGTGGAGAAAATGTATAGCTCAATAAAAAAAGAAGTATAGGCAATTAAGAAATGCTGAGATCAGGAGAAATAGTCTTCCCTAAGGAAGAACATTTCAATTAGTTATCAATTCCAAGTGATCAGCCCTGAAAATGTATACATACAAGTAACATTATATAGACTGAACAGGTTACATTATGTATTTAGGAATATACCTATATATGTATAGATATGAATGTATATATGTGTGTGAAAGAGATTTATCACATACATGTGTAATTACAATTAAGGAAAAAGAGGCCATGAATTTGAAAGATAATAAAGAAAGCAAGGTAGTTTTCCATAAAAGGTATCTTCCTTTTATGGAAGGATTTAGAAGGAAGAAAGAGAATGAAATGATGCAATTATAATCTCAAAAACCTGGGTTGAAGAGATGACTCGGCTAATAAAAAAAGCTAGGCTCAAAAACAAAAATAATCCCAAAAACTTAAAAAAAAATTGTTCAGAACAATGGCTGGCAATAGGCTATCTATTCACCAAGTTACACTTAAAGAAGTTATATCTGTGTTGGTTTTGACAATGGCACGAAACTCTGAATGTGCTCTTAAGGCGATGGCTACTTTCTCCACCTGTGACTAGGTACACAGAAGAGAAAACATGTCTGGCTGGTTGAATGCCTGAAATGACATGCAAATGATAAAGTCAAACTGTTGTTACTACTTCCTTTTAGAACATGAGATTTCCAGGAACTGACATGTTTGTGGTTTTGCAAAGAATCATTTGAATTCTTGATGTAGGAGAGTCTTCTATCTATCTGTTGCTTTCATTGGTTAATTAATAAAGAAAACTGCCTGGCCTGATAGGTCAAAACATAGGTAGGTGGGGAAGACAGAACTGAATTCTGGGAGGAAGAAAACAGAGGCAGAGAGCAGCCTGCCATGAAGCGGCCAGGTCAGACATACTGAATCTTTCCTGGTAAGCCACGATTTTATGGTGCTACACACATTATTAGAAATGGGCGGAGTCAAGATGTGAGAGTTAGCCAATAAGAGGATAGAACTAATGGGCCAGGCATTGTTTAAAAGAATACAGTTTCCGTGTAATTATTACATGGGTAAGCTAGCCAGGATCCGGGCAGGAACGCAGCCCATCGCTCCTCTTACAACAAATTCTAACTATATTCTAGATGCAAACCTAGGACATGTAGAGGAAATCTAAAGGCTCCAATATTCAAAATGTTTTGAATGCTGACATAACATCGGAAAATTCGTCACTGGCCTCATGCGATGAGCTGCACTGAAAATGCAGGCATACTAAAACTATACAAAATGTCCGTGAGGCTGAGGTATAACATGTATGTTTCATATCATATGAAACATACGAAGTTCATGTTCAGACATGGGACCCATACCTAAAATGCCACAAATATTTCAAAATCTGAAAAAAAAACCTACAGTCAGAAATTCCATATAACCTGAGTGCCCAAAGGACAAAGGATGCTGAGAGGAGGTTTCAGAAAACCTAAGATTTTGCAAGTGAGGCCAAGTTCAAAGCTGACAACATATTGTCCTTCTATTTAAAGTTTTACTTTTGATGTCTTTTTATTCTCAGGGGACCTATTTTTCTAGTGACGAACTCTTAAAACGTCGGCATGTGGTTCTAATTGAGAATATTCCCCCTAGGGGTTCCCTTCATGAAACTGACAACCAACACGTAAAATAGAAGGGGACATTCTCCAGGAAGTCAAGCATTAATGTCACAAGGTAGAATGATGTGACCCAGCTCAGCAGTTGGCGGACTGGCAGCATCAAGGCAAGTCCCAAAGCAAATAGCCCTAGGCTCCTTGAAACCACCTGGCCTGGGAAGGGAGGCTTAGAAAGTGAACCTGCTTGCTCAAGAACACATTGTGTGCAGCAGTGTTGAATCCAAGTCTAGCAGCAACAGTTGCTGCCTGGTCCAGTGTTTTTGTGAACAAGTTCACATGGAGATTCCTGTGTGTGTGTGTGTGTGTGTGTGTGTGTGTGTGTGTGTGTGTGTGTGAGCACGCACGTGCAAGGGCCTTTATTACTCATCTTTAACTTTTGAAATATTTGGTAAAGGGAGGAAATACTCCAGTAGAAAGTGTCACCTTTGAAGCAGAACAGATTTGAGTTTAAATTTAGCCCTACCTTTTGTTCGTTTTATGTCCTTGGGCCATGTTAGCATATAGGTCTCCAGTTTTCCTAATCTAGAAAGTACTAATCACTTCCTGTTAGGATCACTTAAGGGAAGGAATTTAACCATGTACCCAAATCACCTGGCACATAGCCCAGGTCTTCATGGGTATTTAACAGTGGAAATAGACGGACAACTAAAGCTAACAGAAAGACATGGAATCGGAACTGAAAATAGTATTTTTCTACTCAGATAGACTGGGAATAACTCCTTGAGGTAAAGATATAGATGATTCTGAGAAATGCCAATCTGAAATTGTTCATGTGTATTATGGGATTCCACCAAAGCAGCAATGGAACACTGGAGCCACCGGGTTGTGGCTCAGGTCCAAATTCCTAACATCCTTGTGGCTTTGGCTAGGGAGCCCAACCTCGGAACTCTATTCGGACTCTGTGTCCTCATTAGGAAAACAAGGAGAGGCCTAAGCATCTTCGCTTCCTTCCTTTAGGGTTACTCAAGGAGATCTGTAATGACCTTCACTGCTAAGGGATGGTTCCCAGTAGGCAATTTACAAAGGAGTTGTGGCTAACCACGAGGAGGGGATTCATGGTCAGTCCCTCAGATAGGGATCAAGACCAACTGCTGGAGGGCTTCACAACCAGACACTGGGGTGTTCATGACCAGATGTTGAGGGGGGGTTCATGGCCAACTACTCAAGGAGGTTCATTGGCAGCAACTAAGGTGGGGGGTTCATGTCACAGGGTTCATGGCTGGCTTCTGGGAAGGGGTTCACAGCCAGTAGCTAGAAGATTTGTATATTTAGATGAACATGCTCTCTTCATCATTGTGATGAAGACTCTAGTGGCAGGGGATTATTTATTTTGAAGACATCACTTAGCCTGTCTTTGAATTTTCTGTTCTGTGGTTACTTGTATATGAAGTTGACTGATTTGAAACCATGAAACAGTGGGTTATGATGTGATAGTGTGCTTGCTTCCTTAGCACAAAGACAGGAAGCAATCAAACTGCAGGGACCCTGCTCATGACTTTGGGACACCAACAAGGACCCAGTGATTTCCAGAAGAAAGAAAAAGAAAAGCAACAGGGGAAGCAGTACATTTATTAAAAGGCATGAGAATGTAGGAACTCATAAAGTTTTACATTATGAATTAATGTAGTATCATTTACCCAGTGAAAAAATAGCCAGAAATCCATGAGCAAACTGTATTGTGTAAGTGAGATGATTACACATTTGATCTCTAATCATTTCCTTCCCCCATCATCTATTAGTAGCAGCAATTTTTAAATGACAACTGAAAAAGCTGTTACAAATAAACATCACATGGGGAGAAACATTTTAAGAATGCTCTTTTGAAAATGAACCAGTGCAAACTATCCAAACTGTGAAGACTGCAGTGAGACTTGGGGCTCATCTTCACAGAAGGAGAAAATAAAAACACTGAACATTTGCTAACTAAGAAATGAAAACGCAAACTACATTTTCATCAGTGAAAAATAATACATGTGGATATTATAAAAAAATTCTTAACCAGTGACTGCAATGATTACATTTACAAATGTTCATTCAAGTACTGATATTCAATAAGCATTCAAATTGTCATCAAATGTGATGTGAGACTGGACAAACCAGGACAACGCTGGTAAGAAAAGGGCCATATCAACAGGAGGCAGGCGACCCTTAGAATACTGTTGTTGGTTTCATTTTGGTTTTGACTATAAAGGATCTTTCATAGTCAACGTTTGTATCTGCGAGGACCCATGGAACATCTCACAACAGCTAATTAAGAAGTTATTTCTATAAAATGAGTCAACAACACCCAAACAAACATTTGAAAACTCAACTTTAGCTGATGATGATGATAAGGCAAAAATACGTTTTCTTTGGCAAGAAGTTGTTAATTCCTTACCAAATGTTGGTTCGTGGGCTGTGTAGACACTGTAAGAACCCTTTGGTTATTTACCAAAGGGCTATCAATGGACTGGGCTGAGAGTCAGAAACTTTCCACCGCCGGAACCGCAGCGGAGAGCTACAGCAAAGTCATGCTGGAATCAGCATCGCTTGTGTGATTACTGTCATTAAGAACTCTTCCTTCAAAAAGCTCCTTCCTAATCATGGCCTGAGTCTCAGGCTTTAGCAAAAGTTCCTTGATTTGTTTCACTTTGGACTTCAGCTCCATCCTTTCTCGGTGCAAAGCTTCATTAATTAAGTCTTGGATCCCAACTGGCTTCTTGCCTATGGAGAAAAGATTATATAACACATTTAAAGTACAAATATCAATGAAATACATTAAGTATGGCACACTGAGTTATCAAAATAAGGCTGAAAAAAACCTTTAAAATGTTACCCACGTTTCATAGAAAAGGTTGCATTTTGCCAAAAATATATAATTTACGTGAAACTTAATGTACTGTAAATAAAGATCACGGCATGGTAACAACACACTAGGGACAAACGTAAAGCATTGTGAGCTCGGTACACTCATGATCGTCTCCACAGCGACAAACTGAACTCAGTACTGGACAGCTGTGTGCAAGTTTTGGCCTCAGATGAAGTAGTCAAATGCTCTAAGCGATGTAAACAAACGGCAGTATTCCAGCGGTGGCCAGTCCTCTCCCTCAGCCTGGCACGCCTTCCCAAAGTGCCCACTCTCCCTTGTACACGCTTGATGATACAGGAACTTGGGATTGCTCTTCTGTGAATTAATTTCTTCTGCCGGCCCCAGCGCCCCATTCTCTTTTGTGGTGTCGCAGCAACGTCAACGCATCAATCATAAACGAGTTAGGCGATCTCTGGGGCTTGAATAAGACACTTAGCACGTCGTAAGTCAGTCTGCGACCTAGCAGAGGGGCAGGGATGCTTTTCACAGAGCAGCGGGAACAGGTTCCATTCTCACTTCCTGTTATTATCACTGCCTTTGCCATTCTGATTGGCCTCTTCAGCTTTGGTGGAGTTCCCCTCCCCCAGCTGCTTTTTGTTCTGTGTTTCTTCCAAATACTGCTGGACAGCCTTGAGCACGGCGTTCTCCACCAGCCTCTTACTGAGCCTGACCAGTTCAGCATCCTCAGGCTCCCCTCGGTCCTTCTCACCTACATTCCACAAGAGAAGAGAGGTCACTGAGCTCATATTGCCATAGCAACGAGGCCACTAGGGCCCAGCTAGTTCAGCTAGTTAAAAGAGCAAGTGTCCTTCACTGTGGCAAATGGGACCTATAAATCCAACAAGAGTGGGTTGCCTTTTCCGATAACATTTGTCCAAGTATGAGCCTGCCTATTGCTGAAGACAGTCCATTAGACATGCCCTTGCCTGTGGCCTTCCCATTTCTACAAGGTTTTTGTGCTCCTCTCTCGCCCAAGGCTAATTAATGGCTGCTGTTCAGCTACTCCTGGCCCACACCTGAGGTCTCAGGCACATGAATTCACCAAGAAGATCCTGATCTGCGGCTCCCTCGCCAATTCTAATTACCAAGGAATCAAGAGTCCCCTCTTATCTCATGACTTGGGATCCCTCATTCTAAAATGCTTGGCATGGAGATTGGCTGTCTATAAGCTCCCAGCACTCACACCAAGGCAAATGCAGTAATCAGTGCCAGTAGCCGTGGTTTAAAATAGGACTGCAAGACCAGCATTCCGTGTTTAGAATCTCATTGCTCTCAACTGTAACTCAAGAGGCAGGAAATTCTCCCAAGAAGAGTTAAGACCCTTATGGTAACTTCCTAGATGTCACCGTCTTCTGATCATTCTGCTATCCCACTAGTGATGATCCAGGTGTAAGTAAATATTCACTTTACTGCTGTGTAAAAGAGTTACTTCTCCCATGTCCTCATACTATACCTCACCCTGCCACCCATCCAAACCCTCTCTTTATTGGGGAAAAGCAAAGGAGCTCTTTGGCTAAGTGCACTCCCTCCCTCCATTGATGTAGGTTGGAAAGCGGATGGTGTTGGAAAAGTCATCACATTGGCCACAGTAAGACAAGTTCAGTGTGGGACAATCACCCAAGGGCTCATGACGACAAAGTCAGTGCTACACCTGCATGCTGGGGCAGGAGGATACCATGAGTGGAAGCAGGAAGACAGATGTTATTTTCCATCCTCATATATAACAGGGCTTGGAGAACAAAAGAAGCAGTGCCAATGGTAAAGCCTGGCCCCAGACGGACTTCAGAGTCCTGTCATTTGTCTACAGCACACACGCGGGACTGCTGAATAGCCACCCCCAATGCCGAGGGACAGACAGCGTAAAGGAAAGCAAGGATGGGTTAGGATCAACCTAGAGAAATGCCTTAGCAACTGCTTCCCCCTCAAATCTGGCCATATGGCATCAAAGAGCAGACGTTTAAGCCCATGTACAGTGCAAAATATGTTCAGAATTGAGTGAGCTTTGATTTGGTGATAATTACAGAGAATCTACTAACCAGATACATGATGATATTGTGAAAAGAAGAAAGCAATCATTACTAATACAACTTTTGGCAAAAGTTCAGATTTTACTACTAAGATCACAAGGAAATGTTGCCTAATATTTAAATTATTTGCTCTCAATCTTAAAGCATAGCATTTACTCTGTGCAGAATATTACATGCAACTATTTGTATAGCGGCTCTTCAAATTTAAAACAGAAAATGAGATGCAAATGAATGCTATTTAAGTGCCTGTCAAAGCCTTGGAAAGGACTTTCTAAATCTCTCTCACCCAGGCCAGCGACTGTATTTTGTGGACCATTCCAGAATCCTAGTCAGCTTTCTCACTAGTAAGATAACAAGATTGGATTTAATTAATCAATAACTCATTCTCCAAAATCCCTCTCAGGTCTAATATTATGGAACTTGTTATTTCTGTCACTGAAGTGTCTCTGTGGCTTTAAATGTTCAGATTATTTGAAATACCCTGAGTTTGTGGTACAGACTTATATTCCCATAACTCAGGACAAAAGTCCAAGGCTAGCATGGTTTACAGAGGAGACCCTGCCCTAACACCTTTCCTAAAGAGAGAAGTTTGAAATATAAAAGCCTTTCCATAGGATGCTAATTTCCCTTCTGTCTGTCCTATTTTTGTTCATGCTCTTACTATTATCCAAGTCAATCAAACTTAAAACGTGATTATCTCTGACTTTCCTGCCCTTCCTGAGCACACTTAATTACAGAACACTGTCAATATGTGATTCACAATCTCTCCTGCCTACAAGGCACGCAACAAAATGCCTCTAGATTAACTTTTCTAAAACTTCCCTTTCAGACTGGGGGCGGTGGCACACACCTTTTATCCCAGTGCTTAAGAGGCAGAGGCAGGAGGATCTCAGTGAATTTGAGGCCAGCCTGATCTACAGATCGAGCTCCAGGTCAGTCAGGGCTACACAGTGAGACCCTGTCTCAAAAAAACAAAAAACACAAAAAGAAAAAAGAAAAGAAGATAATTTGTTAATGAAAAATAAGATAAAATATTCCTTTCAGTCTCCATTTACCAGGGAAACAAGCTGGCACTTCAAGATTTTCCAAAATTTGCCTAAGCAGCTGCTATTGCCTCAGTTCTGTGATCGAATTCCAACACCCGTAGAAGCTTCCAGATCATTCTCTATTACCAGACAACCCTACCCTCCTCCTTCTAATTAAAATTTTACTTGCTCCACGAAATGTTCCTTGCCTTTCTAGCTGGATGGCAAACTGCTACTAGATTCCAGGAGCTCTGTGTAACAGTGCATCGCCATTTGGCTATTTGGTCATTTATTCAACAAATACGCCTAAAGTTTTTACTATATGCCTAAGAAATACAGCCTACATTTTATCAGCCTATAGAAATACAACAGAGAACAAAACTAAATGAGATCCTATTGGCTTTCTTTTTAATTCTTTTATAAATTATGGGCATTCTTTATGAATTCATTTGCAAAGGGATAGTCTGATGCCTGGGAAGATGGTCCAGTCAGGAACATGCTTGCATGCAAGCACAGGACCTGAGTTTGGGTAGTAGGCACCCACATAAAAAACCTGGGCACAGTAGTACCCATCTGTAACCCTGGCACTGGGGAAGCAGAGAAAGGAGGAGCCTGGAGCTCATTGGCCAACTATTCTACCCACTGGTAAACTCCATATTCACTGAGAAACCTTATCTCAACATAAGGTTGCAGTATGGCCAAGGAAACAGCTGACATCGATCTCTGACCTCTCATGCATGCATTCACATATGCATGTACACCTGCATGTACACATGCCTTCACCTACATGTGCATGTACCCCACACACATACACAGGCTTGAGGACAGAAAATGTGGTAAGTCTGTTCCCTTCCTCTGTGCTAACAGATGGCACAGTTTATCCATCACAATAAGAGCTCAATAAATGTTTTTTGGGTTCTGCCTAGTGAATTTTTATTAAAATCCTTGAAAGCAATAGCAACAGTTTTGAATATTATTATCGCCCTATATAAATAGCACATCATGACCAGGAATTTACATGGCCAGAAATTTAAATGCAAAATTAAATCTAAACAAGAACAGAGAATTCCAGAATAATTCAAATATCTATGTGAAAAATCTGCATTAGTTTTACCTGATGAACTTGATCAATAAAACAAAATATTTCTCCAAATGATGATCAGAAATTAACAATTCACAATAACAAATTATTTCATTAACCAACCCCAAATAAGCAAATTAGCAAATCTTCCAGGTCAGACCTGGACTCAAGCTTCCCCACATACTTTCTGCAAATCCACTCAGGCTGTTAATATTGTCTCACAGCAAACTGGGCATGGTGCGCATGACAATAATCTTAGCACTTGGGGAGGGTCAGGCAGGAGGATGAGAAATGCAAGCCCATCCTGTGCTACACGGGGAGCTTAGGGTCAGACTAGGATACATGCACCCTGTAAACGTTTTTATACATGTATGCAGGCATACACATGTGTGTCCTGGGAAGGCAGAGCTCTATAAGAATACACTTGTCCAAGAAGCCAGAATCTTAATTTCAGTGAGAAAGTATAGCTAATTCAACATACAAAGACATTTTCAGATTAAAGTTATGCTATATTTTTCCTCTGCTTAATACTTACAGAAGGACAGTAGTCTCTCACCCTAACCTCCTGAATGCCTCCTTAACCGTTAGATGGCAGCTCACCACAGTATGGCAACATACACAACTCTCCTTTAATTCCAGCAAGATGGTCAAAAATATCCTTTCTTGGTTTACTGACTCTCATACCCACTTAACAGAGTAACATTTGCCTTTGATACTGCATT